AACAACGAATTCCGTGGCAATTTTTAAAAAGGAAATGAATTATAAGCAAACATGATATGCTGCCTAGAAGCGCAATTTTATCGTCTTTGGTGCCACCAAATGAAAATAAACCTGTTCTGCTAATCCAATTAAACAGGCAACAGTAGATACTACTATATAGAATTCTTTCTCGATCGAATTCTTTTTTTAGACCTTAAAATGGTTCAGTAAAGAGAAAATCATGGATTATATACAATTTTCGACAATCTGTTTATGCGATATGGAAAACGCATAAAACCTGAAATTTCGCGATACATTTGGCCAAACGTTAAATCGATGTTAATAAGTATCATATCACGAAACTGTTTTGCATCATTCGAGACGTCTGCTACGGCAACTTGTTGTACCTCAACGAGATATAACGTTAGCCAGATATTTCGAGTTGCACCTTGGCTTGGGCCCCCTTCTTCGCGGCCATGCTCGTTTAGTCATCTTTCCGCGAAGCTAAAAACTTGGCCTTCGTTACGACTGGACCGTGGTTTAATTCACTGGACGTGTCGAGTCGCGGTGGAAACTGTGCCAGTAAAATAGCGCAGCTATTTTACGAGGCACCTTGGGCATGTAACACAGAATTTCATTTCATTGCGAGTTTCGCGATGTGATCGGTGGATCAGAGTCATAACAATGTCATCATCCTGGTAAAAAGACTGAGACGTTTTGACTCGAGTCATGGTCCAACCTTGTCTCCTAAATTATTCGTTTAGTTAAAAATAAAGGAAGAGAGAAAAGGCAAGACTGATATTAAAAGAAGGACTAATATTACATGCATTCTGGTATAATGATTAATCCCACTCTATTAGCTGGAAAGTTAAGTATACAAATGCTCGCTATTTTGACTAGGTATTTGTAGAAAACAGTCAGCTACTCTCACGCGAGTGGAGGTATTAATCACAGAAGTTTTCGCAGTAAATGAACAACAATCAGTAGAAGATTAGTTACAGCCTGCCTGTGTGCTTCCGCATGGCGAGTTGACAGCATTCCATAACTGTCACACGACGACAGGTCGTCGACGATCAGATGGACTCTCTGCTATGCGTAAATATCGCGGCTACTTTCCAATAGCTAATCAGAAATAGCGTAAATGGACATTCTCCAAGATCAAAAGTTTCCTACATCCCTGAATACCTGATCTCTCTTCAATCCTTCTATCAGAGCAGTCTATCTCTCTCAATCGGAAGAATACACTACTCCGGATCAAGAATGCAACTGGTACTTCTATTTTAACAACAAGATCTTCGAAAAGCAAAGGAATCATGCCGCGAGCAATGAAGATCGTCACAGCCCAAGGCCGCGTTCACGCAAATTTCATAACATACCGATCCCCGAACGTAATGGCTTTTATATTTCAATTGCACGTCACTGATGTATCGAAGGCGTCGCGGTACTCGCGAGAAGACAGCTCATCCACGATGTGTCCCGAAATAATCGGTTGAAATTTACCGAGACGCAGGCATCATCGTCCAAGGCCAGGTTACGATAGACTCGAAAATCTGTAGATGACAGCGGAACGAAGCCACGAATCCCTCGTCTATCAGTGGAAAGGTTAACGAGAAAGTTGGATAGGTGGTAACCCGGCGAAATGGGGTTCGACGTTAGATCCGATAAGTCAGCACGCTGCTCGAGTGCCGCCTGAATGCGAGATCGACACTTGCACAACACTCACGAAAATAGCACGACGACGAGCTGACACGACGAGCAGCGGAAGAGGAAAGAACGAACGTACGAAAAATAAGCTGGTGAAAATGCTAGACGGACTCACCTCCAGCTAGAACACGTCCAGAGTCGGCTTTCGCGTCTTTATCGTGAACGACCGAGGAGGATCGCGGGCCTCGCCACCACGCTGATCACTTGGTGTACGCGATGGATCGATGGATCGGCCACTGGATATATCGTTCACCACTTTGCGCTCGGAATCCCCGAATAAATCCCCCGAGGCGGTGAGGAAGCCAGCCGGCGGCTATCTCGAGACTGCTACCAATGCCAGCCGCAAGGCGTCCCGACACCCTCCACGCTTCTCTTCTGCCTCTTCTTCTTCTTCTTCTTCTTCTTCGTCTTCTTCATCGTGGTCCACGTCGTCTTCTTTCCTTTCCGTCGTCTTTCTTTCGCCTCTACCATCCTCGCGACGCACGCTGTCCATCGGCATCGTTCTGGCATCCCCCTCGTCATCATCCTCGTTCATCTACTCTTCTTGAGGTAGTTCATGGAACAACGCACCTGTTGTTCGACGCACCGGCTTAGTCGGAAGAAACGTCGGTTTTCCACGTAATAGGGACCGATTGGAATTATCGAAATGTCACTGGTAGCGATGTAAGATGGTGGATATTTGGGTGGATGAAAAGCTAGGCGAAGAGAGCGTGATCGCTTAATTACAATCACGAGAGAAAGTCGGGATTTGAAAGATCATTAAGCTGATAGATTTAAGAGACGATTCTGCTAATAGAACAATAGAAAAGCGTTCGTTTGCAGAAATGGCGACCTTTGGTATTCCTCTTTAGTGTCCTCGTGTCGCTGTACCCGAGCCAAGGGTCTCCCGGATAATTAACGAGGGATCGTTACACAATTGTGAATTATCGAGGAACAATGGCCATTATGGCACGCTAAAAGCGTACCACTTTTTGTCGCAAATTTCGGCTTTCCTATTGTTTGTATAATTAATTTCTTATCGCTTTGCGCTCCGATTTGCTTTCGTCGAAGCGGCTGTACGCGCGCCAAAGTTCGATTAAATAATTAGAAATACTCGATTACGCAATTGACGAGCATCGATCGATTTAAAAATACTGGCCATTTCACAAGTATAAATCGCAAGTTCGGCGCGTGCTACCTTACAGCTATTCCAAACTGTACGCACTGTTCGTAAACAGAATTGTTTTGTAGTGACGAGCGCATTGTCATCGCTATGGTGTGCATAGAATTCGATGCATCGCATTGGCGCACGTATCGATCGTATCATTAGCCCGGAAAATATACTTCCTCAATGACCATATAAAAACATCATCCAAACATCTCGAAATTTGATAAGCAAGAGCTGAAGAGTGCTCCAGTAAAATTTCCAAATTTTCGAATATTTTTTCCCCGTCGAAATTTTCTTGGGCCACGATCGTACAGCCTATGCACTATAATTAAAAATTTCAGGGTGCTCCAAAGAGCGCAGCAACGCGAGTTATCTTCATCGTTAGACGCACTTGCAATATCTTCTGCAGACGAACGAAGATCGGTTGTACTTTGGCTGGTTCTAATAATAATCGATGCCTACGTGTCTCCAGGGATTTCTCTGCCGGTCCACCGCCGATATGTACGTTGTATTTGCGATGCGTTGTACCGACCATAATTTCTGCGGCAGCTAGCTGCTCGCACTCGTCCACTTGTCCTTTTTGCTGCTCACAGCCGGCTTCTGTCCGGCGCCGATGGTACTTCGACGGATCGTTGGAAGTCTATTTGTGTTCTGACTTGGTTTTAATACGTACACCACACGGTTTCGCTGTCGATGTACTTTTACGACCGGTGAGATATGTCCCGTTATCTGGGACCGTTTTTCTTCCTGCGACTCAACCGCGTCAATTAGCCAAGACAAATCACAATTAGCTACCTTCAGCTCGGTTCAGCTACTGGGTATGAGCAAGTCCATTTACGGTCGTAACGATACAAGAACGTAAGAAATCTTAATCGTTAGGTGTTAACAGTAGATCGACCGAGCCAGACGAGATAGCTGAAATGGCTCTGGTTCGGCCATTTTGTTTTTACCGCCACTGAAGACGGTAAGTACAGCTACTCCTGAAAAAATCAACGTATACTTATTTACATGCTTTCATCGTGTCATAAATTATTATTATTAATTATCCGTGTATACCGTGATTAAATTTAGGTCGCTGGTTATAGCGTTAAGAAAAATGGCGATTACCATGTAACCGATGCAACGTCTTAATGAAGCATCTCAGCTTGTCTATTTCGACACGGTCCACTGTACGACCAATCTAATTCGAATAGGTTGCACGTATCTTCGGATATAACACTGATTCGATGATCTCCCGTGAGGGTGTCGTAAAGTCCGCTCTCTGAACAGCAGAAGATGACAACGTCGAGTGCGATTTTATCGCGGATAGCGATTATGGGGCTATCGAGATACGTTATAGTCGAGTGTCAATTAAAAGAGTCGATAATATCGAGTATACAACGTCGTTCAAACACCTAGATGACTACTAGGGTAATTATTCTGAAAATGTTCCGCATGAAGCGACACCAGCCGATGCGGGGTAGCAAAAAGGTTGAAAGGCTACGTTGTGCCGAAGCAACAGACGGCTATAAGTTCATTTCCGTGTTATTAATGCAAAGTCGCCGCGTGTAGGACATTCATACGTAATATCTGACTAATTGAGGCCGACGCGTGTACTTGGCGATCCTCCAAGTCGCTTTGATCGCCCGTAGATCGACCCTATGCGAAAGCTACACGAGTACACGTACCCACACCAGCACGACGGACGCGTTTCTGCGGATTTAAGTACACGCGTGTGCCTTTCGAAACGAGCAAATGGATCGAACAGTACATCGTGGTCTTTTCGCGTTGCTCAAAGACCGCTTCGCGCGGAAACATCGTTCGGCGAAGGGAAAAAGAGGAAGAGGAACGAACGTTTCAAGTCTAGAGAGCATTTCGACGGTCTGAAGGCGAATTCTATATCGTATAGACAATATGACAAAAGTTGGTCGTCGTGAAACGAGCATCGAACGCTGCCCGAGCGCTTTCTGCGAACCTTTCTCGGGGATATGTCAACGTGCAGGAAGAACTGCGCGTGAACGGCCATTTTTTATTGCATTTTTATCGAGTACATCATCGCGAAAGGTCGACAGGTGAAAGTGAGAAATCGACGGGAGAATAACTGACATGAATCTACGCGGTGAAATACGAGCTTGAGGAATCCATCGTGAGTACGCCGATTCAATGGCACCAGCACCAATTTCTCCATCGATCTACCTCGCGGAGGAATGCTGCTGACTTTATTCAGGTACGCGAACGAAGATCCCTCTATTATATATAGTACCTCGTCCATCATTTCTACGAATAAACGACATAATCTTTTTAACCAAATGAAAAAATAAACAGGTTGACAATGATCGTTTCGCTACTAATCAGCGCAGTTCGCGTCCACGTGAATTCAGAGAAATTATCGCTGATACCGTCAGAGGAAGACGAGGCAGTGGCCCAATCGCATCGACAGAGTGATACCTTTTTAAAATCAGTTTACGATGAAGACAAGGATCTCGTGCAGAGACGTCAATCTAACAAGGACTCCGGATACGACTCGAGAATACGTCGTGGTAGCGTTAATTCGGTGGAGAACAGATTCACCCGATCAGGTAACGGAGTGTTGGCGCACAAAATGGCCAAGGATGTGCTCAAGTCCCCGAAGACACAGGATACCATAAGGAAACTCTCGCGTGTGTCATCGCCCAAAGGAAGTTTCCGTGCAGCTGCGAAGGTTCCAGGGGTAACCAAAGGCGGTTCGAGGGTGGCTGAAGAGAAGAGACATCACGGGGCGAGGCACAGGGGTCGAAGGAAGAAAAAGAAAAGGTACGGAAAGAAATGTGATCCAATTCAGATTTAAGCAAGAAATGTATCCTTATTTTCTAGACATCATCGAAAGTTCAGGAAACAGCAGCCTGGTTTGTTAAAGAGAGGATCTTCTAAGGTAGGTAAGCTTCGTTCTGCAATTTCACTAATTCTCATGGTGTCTTTGAGTGTTATACCTTACTACGCATTAGATAAACGTTTGAAAAATATTCCTTCACTCAGAGAACGTCGGACAGCAAAAAGGACATTAACGCGTTTGCGAAGGGATCAGATGGAAGGGGGCATTCTATGATTAAGCATAATCCAGTTGTTATCGCCGATAAATCACGCGACAAACCGACCACTTTGCGATCGAGCAGCAATATTACTGCTGTCAAAGTAGACGACGACGATTACGTTGATTTTTCCTCGCCTATGTACACCGAACCTACGGTGCATCTCAGCCAATCGAAAAGACTCGAGAAACCAGCGAAATTGCACGGAAGTGAAAAGATGATCGAACAACTGATGAGGACGACGACGAAGGATCCGTCGAAAAAGAGTCCAGGCGACCAAGGGGTCGAGTATTCGGATTACTATAGCGACGACGAAGTTCTCCAGGACATCGCCGCGAATAAAATTCCGATACAGCTGGCCGAGTCGAAAAATCCTAACGATAGATTCACACGACAGGCACTTAATTTCACGTCGTACCGTGATAACGATTTGATCAATAGAAACTTGCAGCATTATTATTCGAACCACGATACTCGTAGAAAAGGTCTCAGGTACAGGGGCAACACTGTCAATTCTCTTCATAATTTTCAGAACTATCCCACAATTGAACGTCTCCCGACATTAAATCGGAACTCACGACACTTCAGAGCGGATTATCCTTCGTTTAATTATGCGACCAATTACGAACCCTTGGAATATCGAAACGAAAATTTTGATTCGTCGTATCCAACCAGTATGGCGGCTGTTCCGGAACCACTCGAGGGAAACAGTCTTCCAGAGCAGCAGAACGACCTGGATGCTTCCGATCCGAGCAAATTAGACAACGAAATTCAACCTGTCGTTGAAGTGCAGGATCCGGATCAATTTAATTATCAGAATCAATACGAAACTGCCCCGGAACACTTCCAAAGCTCGAGTTCGAACGAGCCCCAAAGTCTCAATGTAAACGAAGCTCTTGAACCGCGAGTTCCTCAGTTTCAAAGTTTAAACAGCTACCAGCAGGTAGAGACGAATTTGCCAGAGACCGGAAGTTTCGATCAGAGTATGATGAACCAACCACGAATGGACAATATGGGGATTTTAGATCCGAAAGAGGAAGATGCGGAAGTTCGTACTCAGTCCAGTTACACTCCGATTCAGTTGTATGATAACCAAGAAGAGCAGCAGAAGGAACAGCAGAAAGAACAAGCTCTGAAAAATTTCCTGATTTCCCAATCGAAGCACAGTTCTCCAGCACTGAACGTTCCTAATGCGATGGATCAACCATTAGGAAAAATCCTAGAGTCCTTAGGGATCAATGTCAACAGCGGGCCAACTAACTTCAATCAAAATCCAAGCTTCGACGAGAACATCAATCGTCAAGTGATACCTTACTCCAACACCTACGATCGGTCAATGGAACATGCGATAAGTCCCAATTACCTGAAAAGGAAACCAAATGAAGACTTGACCAGCTACCATGAAAATGGTAACGCGAAAGGGTCGGAGTACCAGACGCTTAGAGACAAAAACGGAAACAACGCAAGGGAGGATTACCTTAGAAGACAATCGATTCAAAACAATGGGTATAATAACAACTTGACACACCTGGAAGAAAACGAGAATCCTACTCACAACGTGAACATTTCCATTGCGATGCACGACACGAAAGAGGTCGCCAATCAGATACTCGATACCATAATGGAGGAGCTAGAAGAATTGAAAGAGGACAAGTTGAAGGATAATAAGAAAGAAGGTAAGAGCCATGCAATTGTACGATAGGCAGAAAATAACGTTTCGCGAAACGACAGTAGCTATCCCTGAAGCTTAGCTATCCCTGATATGTGAAACGAGCGATATTTTTAGGCTTACCTTGCCGTTTGTCAGGGTCCTGGTCAACAGCTCAGGCCGGAGTGAAACTGGATATGAGGGTCGTGAATCGTACTATAATCGTGACGCTTTCCGACCTCGCATCCCCACGTTTGCACGAAAGTTTGCTGAATGGAACGTGGAACGTCTCTGGTCACGTCCCGTTTAAACGTGGCTCGCCGTTCACCCTCATCGCCACCAACAATAACACTAATTCTATAGCTGTGTTTGTCGGTATGCATCTTCTCCTTCAAGTAAATCACGTTTCGGTTATTAACCCCTTAGGAAAATAATTAACCCCTTAACAATCATACCTCTACGAACACAGCTTTGATTTTAAAATTTCCTTTATCTTGCATCTTCTCGTATTTTTCTGAAATCGATGATAGAAGAACTCGAACAGCTCTGACCAATTTTTGTAAAATAATTCAGGTGCCTGCAGAGTGTGTCAAGGGATCGACACCATAGCAGGTGTTTGGTCCGTTGCTCGACAACCAAATGGTTGCAAAGACTTCCAGGTTAGCACGAGTGTCTTCAATGATATTTTCCGTAAGACGAAATGGTCCAGTTTGAAAGAGAAACAAGGCTCGAACACGACGGAAAACTCGACGATAAAGCATAAAAAGAGGAAAAGTTAGAAGTACCTGCCTCGTGAAATCCGTATGACGCGGAAGAATAAAGGCACGGTGAATAAAAGATGGAATTCGAAAGATGGAACTACGATAAATGGAATATAATGATCGTTTTACACGTGTCTTCGACTCGTACGAGAACTATGTATCGCAATATAATAACACTTCCGCAAGAAAATGTAGAATACTTTGTACTATGATGTAAGTAGCTTCTAATAAACGCGACGTTTTGTATTGTATAATTTTTAATCACGGTATTTTATATTAGAAGCACTGTATTCTCGGTCAGATAGTTTACAAATTCTCAATTTTATAGCAATCATATTTCTACATTTATCGTACACCTGGAAAGTACACGGACGACGTATCAATGAATTTTTTTACATGACCGAATCACGTCTTCCTAGACGCTGACGAATCGTATCGAGACCTAACACGCAGATCTGCAAATATTTAAGATAAGGATTACTTATCGTAGAATGTTTGCTAAACATATCATCGCGCTACCTTCAAAAGACCAATCTGTTCGTTCTCACTCGTGCCAAAAACCGGAAGAGACACGATCTTTTCGCTATCCCCCAGTGCGTAGTCTCTTATATTAAAAGTGGCATACCTAAAATCATTGCTTAAATTCGTATATCTTCCAACACAGATAGCACTGATAAAGAATCTGTTTTCTTATCTCACCCTACTTCCACGCACTCTTTCACATCAGTTTCCTCGGGAAGTGGTTCGCAAACGACAATAAACTTTATATTAGGATTGGCAGATTGTTCCAGCATCGCGCGTAGGATGTTGTTCTGCAACGCATGCTTCTCTTCGTCTATGTAAAACTCTGCAAAGGCAATGCATTTTCATTTCCAAACGATTAAAAGAAAAGAAGAATGCCTACTTTTCTTAAATCTATATGTCAGCTTCTGCTCCGGCGGCTGCGGTTTCCTCACCGAACATGTCTCCATATCAGCGCCACAGTAGCCCAGGAAACAATACTCGATGTAAAGTAGTTGGTATTCTGGATTCTGCATCACGTAGCTTTTCGGGAACAAAATCAAGTTCACGATCTCGATGGTTATCGTGTCTTTTTCAAGCAGCTGAAACGAGAGTTTCGTGAATTTCTGTGAACTTCTATAATTAGAGGAAGAATTTGTAAAATCATAACTCGTACGACTTTGTTCACAGATTTAGCGTTGACAGCGTTAATTTCTGCGATGACCGGTTCTGAAATTTACTCATGTAAAAAATTCTAATCTATTTAGCCTTCGCGAGGCTGTAATGCGAATTATCAATTGCTATACGTGCCCGCAAAAGTGAGCAAACTTCGCTGCTTGTACTTCTCCCAATTCTTCTCCGAGATCACGTTGGACACCTCGTGGATCGACTCCATTGACTTTGGCTGAGTCACTTCGTTAGGTTTTTCCTAAATATAATCATCCAAGATTAATTGCAGAGAGAACCAAACAATTCTCGAGTCTTACGTCTGAGTGCACGAATGCAGTGAATTCCACCACACTTGGTCTCGACAAGTTGCTCTCTGTTTCCTTCTTCGTGCTATCTGTAGTATCCGTAGACTTTAATCTGTCCAACAATGCGTCTTTTAATCTACTTAACTTTATACCAAAATGATCAATTACGTTCAACTACCTGTCCACAAAATTGTTCCCTGCATTTTCATCAGACGTTTCCTCCCATTTGATCGTACCCGTGAAAATGGACCTGCGTTCAGTCCGGATGGCCTCATCGGACTTGGAGTTTGACAGCATATTCTCATGCTCTTCCTCGCTCGCTTTCATCACGGTTAAAGAATTCTTGTGAGGGATTGCAGATACGGACACTTCTTCAGAAGTGTCACCTAAGAGTAATACATAATCGTTAAATACATTCCATTTATAAAATGTCTGATTCCTCTCTTATTCTATACTTGATTCGTCCATGTAAGCAGACTGCTGTGTCTTTTTAGAAGCCTCATCCGTAACGGGTGCAGAAGCATTGGGATCTTTCGAGTCTTCGGTTTTCAGCACTATTAACTCATCTCTCGACGAGATGGTAACTTTTGGTACCACCTCCAGGTGAGACAGATTGTTCTTGGGCAACTGCGCTTGCATTCCACGTCTTTTCTTGAACGTTTCTACCTTCTCGATGTCACAGCTCAGCCTTACCCATAGAGACAGTTGTCCAAAATTCATGCCAGCCGAGCAAGGGATCACGCTATTCACAGGGGCTATGTAATGCAGCTTGTTCTGAGGGTAGTCCAATATATCTTTGATGCAAAGCTTGCCCCTGGCTACCACGTAGCTGTCGCCATCTTCGTGAAACACGTTTACTTGGAAGGTAACGAAATCTAGGAGAATGTAGTTGAAGAAGGAGAACAGGTCTGGAATTCGGTAGACGAAGGATGAATTGAAGTTCAGCTTAGGACACTTCAGAGTGGGCGTGTAGGCTGTCTCTTGATCCCAGATGTTCCAACTCACGAATAACGACACGTCGCTGATGTTCTTCTCCCGGAAGAGGATCTGCTTAGCCTGGTAACACAGGACAAAAGTTTTCAGAAAACTTGTTGCTAGGATATTTAATTTCGCGATACCAACGGACGTTGAAAGCTGCAGACACACGATGTGAAGCTCCACGAGACCCTGGCCTTCAGCGATCACTAATGGAAACGAATCGGAAAGGGTACTCTGCGCGTCGATGCAGTCGTTTGGACAATCGAGACTGCAGAAGGATTCTATTCTCTGTGTCTCGGATTTCGATGCTGTGTGCATGGTACGACATCGTATCGGACTCGTGATCTGTACGTTGCCCAGTATTTCATTCACCTAAACGTTCGTAATACCAGTTCTATCTTCTACTGTTTCCAATCGAGTGTTATATTAAATCGTTACTCTTACTGGTATCCCAGTTACATCGTTCACGAGCCCTCGACATTTATCCAGATGCATGATGTAGTCGCGTAACGATGCATCGTTTCCTTTCTGCACAGAGTCAGGAGCTTTGCAAGATTTGTACGGATTAATTTCGTTCTGCAACTGACTTCAAAAAACGAGACATGAGTATCGAACGAGAGGATCGTAGGTGTAAAAGTTCGTTACCGAGAAATGTTAATAGAGCCGAAGCTTCTTGGTACGTGCATCTCGTTTACAGAACCCAACACGATATTCTGGAAAGATGAATTCGAATCACTCGAATTCGTATTGTTTTTCTTTGCCATTATTCGTACTCCGCAATGCATTTCCTTATTGTCAGAACTATGGCATGTAACCGGTTTCACGGAACTACAGCAACGTTGGTCGCAACTTGAATCTTGATTACAGCTCATTAAGTTGTTACAAGTGCAACTATTGTTATCGGCGACCTTCATCGTTCTGTTATGCCTCTTTACATTGGAGAACAACTTTTTCTTCAACTTTTCTTGTTTATTGTAAGGACTCGAACAAGATCTTTTTGTAGTACATCCAGTTCGTACAGCGCCGATTGTAACGTTGTTTAGTTTTGTACCGATGTTGTTATTGATGTCTTTCATGAATTGACATTTGATCGATGAGATCGGCCGATACAACGTGCTGACTTCATTGGGCATCGAACACGTCAGAGAGTACTCTTGAAGAATATTAAACAACATAGCTAGCACTCTATTGGGATCTGGTAATTGCTTTTCCAGGGATTGAGGAACGCTCTGGCTTTTATTGCTTTCCTGCTGCTGATGACCGAGCTGTAAAGTTGCGTTTTCTTGAATTTCTTGTGCAAGTGTCCCTGTGTCGCTGTAACACAGTGTCTGAAGATAATATTTTGGGATGGCGAATTGATAATTGAACATACTAAATTACATACAAATGAAAGATAAGGTACAAGAACACTTTATAGTACAAAGACAACGCTTTATTGTGTGTTCTATTTGCTATAAACTTCATCTATAGTTTATTAAAATATAATTGTATACTATAATCGTATACACGTGCGAACACATGCGAACCTATCTAAAGAATTCGGAAGCTCCAAAATTCTGTTGCGACATAATTACTATTATTACCTATCTTATTCGGAAGAACGATATTCAAATTCGGCGAAACTTCGAATCCCAATCAATGGAGAACATTAAAATATCGTTAATTACCTAAACTCTAACTATCCTATACCAACTAGAACTTAGTTGACATAAATATGTATAAATACATCATCGAAATAGCGCGAACAGCAATCGAACAGTTCTGTCAGCAGTTAGAATCGCCGAAAAGCAGTTTCTCAAGGGAGACAACTTGCCTGTGCCTCTGATTTTGATCCATAATGCCATTGTAATCGACGCTAACCATGTTTTTCTGAGTAAACTTCGTAGCGTTCACAGGTGGATTTATTTGTGCTTGTTCCAGAAGCTTCAACATCTTCTCTGGAGTCAAATAATTCTCTGTAACCATGGTAGATCCTACATTTTGCGTTATAATTTGTGATTCTTCGTTCCTCGATTTTTCCTTAACAGGTGTCATAATTTTTCGATCCTCCGTTTCTACGGTGTCTACTTTGGCTTCCTGCTCTGTTTGCATTGATCTATCTATCAATTCAGCGGTGTTTCGTTTTGCATGTGTGACATTTTCCAAAGACAAGGATACACAACATTTTTTGCATTGATCCGTTTTAGTAGAGACATTTTGTTCGGTCATATTTTCGAATATTTCGCAACGTTTGTTAGTCATCTCCACTTGAGTAGCAGTATCATTGTACAATTCATGCTTGTCAGCCGTTATTGGTATCTTCGTGTCGGCCTGTTTCGTCGATATCTGCGTTGCCTTCGACGTTTCCTGTTTCTCCGTCTGCGTTTCGAAAGACTAAAACAATGCATTCATCGATTCAGTTAACGATTTAAACGAATACACGTAATAATTTTTTAGTCGGAGAGAAAAAATTGTCTACTGCATCGCGAAGCTAAACGTGTAAAAAGGTAAATTGAATTAACATGTAAAAGATCGGCATTGAATCAGAAAAAAGATTCCGCACTGACCGTTAACTGTACCGTTAAACCGTCTATGTTCTTCTGCAGTTCTTCAAGTTTCCCCAGCAACTGTTCATTCGAGGCTTGCAGCGCCATGATATTAGCCTGTTCGGTATTAAAAGCGGTTTTCAAAGTTTCTTGATCTTGCAGCTGCTTGGTCACCTTTTTCTTCAATTCCTTATTCTCTAATTCCACTTCTCCATATTTCACACTGAGTTCGAGAAGCTCGTTATTGTGTTGCTGCAGTATCTTCATTTCGCTCATTAGATCCTTTATCCGTTCATCCTTTTCCCGTAACGAGAGTTGAGAATCTTTCGCTTTTAACATCTGTTCGTCGATGTCCACTACCCGTTTCTTTTCCGTCAGAAGTTCCGTCGTGATTGTTTCGTTGTTCCTAATTGAATATATACAACATTCTGCTATAGTTACGTGGCTTATATTTTAATAATGAAAACAAATGCATGAAATTTATCTGACGGAATATAGAATGTGGATATTGAAGATGTAATTTATTTACAAACAAGGGAAAAAATTAAAAAGTTGCTCCGTAGCACGTGCGATCGTTATTCGAGATCTTTTAAGTCACATGCATAGAACGGAAAAAGGAGAAAGAATTACGGTATGATAGACGAATACAATTCATATGATTGGACGAACACTGCTTAGAAATATTGACGTGCATGAGCAAGTGTGAGGGACATTGAGCATACTTCGTCTTCTCCTCGAGCATCCTCTTCAGATCGTTGATTTGCACATTCAACGACTCGTTCTCATTCTCGGTGGCTATTAGTTTATCATTCAGTTGCTTCATTTGTCGCCAGACCTTTATGTACTCAATGTTCTCGGCTACCTTCTCCCTCTGGTTGATAGCTGTGTGAGATGACAGTTCTTTCTCCAATTGAGATATCCGATTAAACATTTCCTTTTTCTGCGACTCCAATTCCTACCCAACAAACTTACTTTTAACGATAATTGAATTTCATAATGTTATCGGCAAAGTATTTGTTTCTTATTGAAATATATCTAATAAGAGAGGCAAATAAAGGGGAAGAAATGCATAAATTGTATTACCTCGATTTTATCGAGATAATTTCGCACATTGCCGTCCGTCTCGCTGATGCAGTGACAAGACGGTATCTTGGTGCGGCTGCTTTCGCTTCGACACGTTCTAAAACAAGGATCTCGACTCAGTGATCTATCACGATGCGCGCAGTGTGAATCATAGATCGTCTCGGATCGCTTGTAATACGACGCTATGCACTTACATGCGCCCGGACGACGGCCTCGCTTGAGGATTACGACTTCTTGATGACGATCTACCGGCTATCGTGTGACTCAGCAGTTGATTTCTCAGCACAGAGATTTTATCTTTCAGCTGGAAAATCGATTGCAACACTATCGGATTAGTTGTAGGAGTTATCTGTTTGAAACTCTATTCAGGCTATTTTCAATTCGTTTCACTTCGAACAAATTGAGGAAGTGTTTAATAATGAAGGAGTCAAATTTTATTTCTTACTCCTTTTTGGAATACGAAAAATTTAATTCTTCTATAAAAAATTTCAGCTCTCACCTTACAATTCTCGAGCTCAAGAGCTATTATTTTATTTTTATCCTCATAAACGTCTAGAGCAACCGCGCATGTCCTTGGATTAGCAGTTACTCTCATCAGCTTTGTCGCTAATCGTTTAATCTTATCCTCCTGACAATTTGTCAGTTTCTTTAAGTTGTTTGCCTCTTCGAGCAATCGCAGATATTTATCCTCCAACTGGTAACGATCAAGTTTAAATACGATATGTCGTTCTCTGGGATCTTTAATTTGTTAAAATAAAAATTGTAAATTAAAAAAGGAAAGCAACATTGTTTTAATATTGTTATTAATACGAACCTATACTACTACGAAAGGTTTCTGCAGAAGAACCCTCTTTCACAGGCAAAATGTCTCGATTCGGATCGTCCGCCATTATTACAGAATTTCACTATTTTACCTAAAAATAACATAGTCAAATTAATAACTATATGAATCTGGCATAAATTTGACAATATCTATTTGATCTACCTTTAATTTATAAATGAAAAAAGTTAATACATTTTTAAATTAAAGAATTTGAAAGCTCAACAATTCAAAAATTTGAAAGTTCAGAAATTCAAAAATTCAGATATTGAAATTTTTAATATTGCATAAATATTCAAATTTAAACATTGACAAAACAGATTTTTATATTTAGTGGTTTGTGTATTTCGGACGCAAATGTATGCTGCGCTGTACTTTAAAACTTGTATTGTTTCTTTTTGTTTCCAGATCCATTCAAATTTTGGCGGGCAAACGCATATATCCGGCGGCGATCTTTCAATCAGAAATGATTCCTTGGTACGGGTCTTTACACGAACAGACAGAAATATCTTGATAAAACGCGCTATCGGTTTGTACCGAAACCACGCCTGCCTGAGAATGTGTATAAGAGAATCCACGAATGCTATTCGAGGGTTATGCTGGCCAAGGTTCGTTGAACACAGTGGTTGTCTCTGAATCAAGTGATTGAAATTCACCTTGATTTAGATTTTTACTTCTATTTTGTTATAAATCGTTGATATTTTTTAGAGAAAAAAAATACGCGAAATAAATTTTTAAACATATCAGTTTCAAATATAAAAATAGTCTCTGTAGTACCTTGATTGTTATAATTATAATATATATGTGGATAATAATTTTATAATATTACTGTATAGAAAAGTCTTCGAAATCAATTTACACTACATTCATTAAATTTCAATGGAATAAAGTAACTAAATGGGTTTTATATACACATAACAGTTGTAAAAACAAATATTTTAATTATTTACATAGCATACGTATTACATATGCATATTTAAAATACGTGTTTCATTGAAAATATAGGAAAATATGTATGTCATAGAGTTGATTAAGAGAATAGAGATACGTATCCCCTTTGTGATGCGTCACCGGGTATATGGGGCAGTGCTTCGATACGCCGGTACAACCTGCACTGCACTAACCTTGGTTTGACATCGCGGAGTGTGCGTGCCAGTGGAAAGGTAAGATGGCGGCGGACGGAGATGTGATTCCTGATCAAGAAAAAGTACGAATAGTTTCGGACTTTATACTGCATTCACCACCGGGCGAATTCAACGAGGTTTTTAATGATGTGAGAGTCTTGTTGAACAACGACAACCTGTTGAAGGAGGGTGCGTCCGGAGCATTTGCTCAATACAACAAGGATCAGCTCACGCCTGTTAAGGTACATCATCGACCTCTCTGATGAACTTTTACAATTTTTTATGATAGTATTCTGGGTATCGTTTAATATTTGTGGTAATCGAAGATCACACTATCTCAGGGAAGTATGGGATCGAATTTCAACGTCTAGTAACATTCCTAATTGAGCAACACGCGTCCGGAATTTCGACAGGTGACGTTGACTTTATAGTGAAATTGGAGCGCGATAATGTTCACCTGGCTGATGTGATTGTTTACCTAAAGTATTCTCGAATAGGTATAAAGCAGTTGCTATGTGAAAATCTTTGTGAAATTTCGTTCAAAATCATATGCTGTAGTAGGGTTAATTATAGTTATATTTCATGCTGATTTTAACAGAAAATAGTTAAGATTGATCTATAAGAATTTTGCCCTTTGCTTCAATTTTCATTTGATTCTGCAATTTCAAAGTAACTTTTATTTTGTAATTCTATGAGTTACATTGAGTTAAATTAAGGTTAGATATTAATTCATCATAAGTATACTGTATGATAAAATTTTTCAATTTGTGAATCTTCCGTTATATTTATTAATTTCTTTTTATTTTTAACTTCAGATTGAAGGGAGCGAATATCCTGTTCTTATAACGGAACATAATGATTTAGGCGGACAAAGGTTTTATGATGCTCACAGTAAGCAAAGTTTTAAATATGACCATCTTAGAAAGGAAGCACAAGATTATGATTCATATGAACCAGATTCTGTAGCTGAACCTTGGAGGTCAGCTCTTCAAGATGAAATAACAACTTACACTCAAAGTCATTATAGACATGGTGCATGTTCAGTTTTTGGAAAAAGTCAAGGAGGTACTATTTCTTTCATAAATTTCATAGCGTTTTAATTATTTCAAACTGACAGTTGTAAACAAAAAGTGGTATATTTATTTATATAGGTAACATTACCTTAACGGCTTGCATAGAAGATCATCAATTTCAACCTAAAAATTTTTGGAACGGCCGTTGGCGTTCTGTGTGGACTGTAAGTTTTAGTCCAAGTTCTGGAAATGCAGAGTTAAGAGGTAGCCTTAAAGTACAAGTTCATTACTACGAAGATGGAAATGTACAACTGGTCAGTAGTAAAGAAGTAAAAGAAAGCATACCGATTTCAAATGAAAAACAAACAGCAAAGGATTTAATACGGCTTGTTGAGGATTCAGAAAATGACTATCAAACTGCTATATCGGAAAATTATCAAACTATGTCTGATACAACCTTTAAAGCCTTACGAAGGCAATTACCTGTTATGCGAACGAAAATTGACTGGAACAAAATTGTATCGTACAGTATTGGCAAAGAGCTTAAAAGTCAATAGAAATAGATTTTTTATATAATATTAAGAGAAATAATTAAAAAGCGCATTTTGCTGCATGGGTGAAGTCTGGAGGTGTGATGTGCATGGGAGCAAATGTAACAATGCTATATAAAGTTTGGTTAAACGTGTTTTGACTGAAACTCATGCATGCCACTCAAGGTTCCTCTGGACCCCTTAATGTATCTTGTTAGGAACAAAAATAATAAAAAGGAACATCATCGTAGCTATCAATTCTTTAAAAGAAAAAGAAATGCATCATACAGACATTTTAATACTAATATTCTTTCTAGGGAATTTTTTAAATTCTATATTAATAATTTCTAATTGATTAAATATTTACTATTTTATACCTTATTTTTACTGGATTTTATGAGCAAATGCTTTGAGTTCATAACAAAATTTGTACATTATTTAGAGACATCCATCTTCACGGTAAAAACGTCCATTAATTTATGGTATTTAGAAGAATATTAATTTATGTGTTGATGTTCAATTAATAGATGGGTATTTGTTTATAAATTTACTAGTATTTAATAATTTACTCTCTTGGGGTAACGGGGATCCTTGGTCTTACTTTTTGTAAGCATTTTAATTAGAATTATATTTACTAAATCAAATTATGTCAAATGTGTAACAAATAGCTACAATCAAACATAAATGAGAAACATGGAGTGGAATATTAAATTCGTTAATGCATTTATTAGATACATTCAAACTGTATCAATTAGATAGTAATCTATACTATTAGTACTAAACAAATATAAATTACTTGAGTTACATTTTCATGAGCTTGTGCAATAATTTACGTTTCAGTGTAAACATTTCTAATGAACTGTATTTATTGAATTTATTCGTTATAATTAACTATATGGATTATTGTCTTATTGATAATTTGGATGAATATACAGTTCTATTCCACCAACTTTGTGAAATTTATAGTTTATAATCTGGAGTTGAAGTTTACTATTAACAGATTGAATGCATCCATTTTAACTCATATTGATACTACAATGTTAATAGTCAACATTATAAAATATAGCATATGAAGTGTTGCACAGTTGGAAAGAAATTGCTGTCTAACATGTGCATGTTTGGTCAGCCTAATGAAACCATTGAGTTAAAATACTCAAATCAGTAATGATTAAAGTTTCAATTCATTAGTTGCACAATAACAATTTTTTTTTTAACACTTAAGTCTTGTAACACCTAAAAAGCACAATAACACGTTTAATATATCGTTAAATGAATATTACCATAATGGTTTCATGCTATGTACAAATATAATAGCATGCTGGGGCCACAGGTGATGTCAAAATATATAATATCAAACTGGATAGGTATGTCTATCATCATTCACAATCTGGTACAGAATGCCATTAAGTGTTCATAGCATTCAATACACAAAGAAAAACTTCATTCATTGCAAATATTGGTGGGCATGGCCTACTATTTTTGTCCAATTTTATATTTCATAAAGTATAAATTTATACATTTTTGTTAAGACGTATTGTTTTATAATAAGTATGTCTATTATGGCAAATATGTTGCAAAGTTTAATAATACTGAATAAAATAAATGTTAATCATTGCAACTTGGTTTCTGTGTTAATCATATTGTAGTTGTATGAATCATTTGTATCAAATAATGATGTTGGAAAATCTTTTGGTGCTATCGCTTACCACACATTACACAACCAGACATGTATGCGAAAACGGAAACTAACAAAGTACATAATGCATTGTACATTGTAGAATGTAGCCTATAGCCTGCTGGAGCCTTAATCTGTTCACTTTATGTTGAGGGGGTATTATGTACATATGTTATTTGAATGAATGAATGCGATGAAGCACACTACCATTTGACTTTTCAAACTTTAGGATTCGAAACATGTTTGTAATATTATTCATATTTTGTAAGTTACATCGTAATTCAAAGTATTTTATTTAAATACGCTATTTGATCATTTTTAGAAGAAATCTTACATAACAATTTAAATATAAGATCATAAAATCATTTTATCAGTTGTGAAGAAAGAGTTAAAAGAAATGTGCAGAGATATAATACAAAAAACTTAGTATACTAAATATTGCAATAATAAAATTTTATATGTAAATATGATGATACATATTATTTAATCATTGTAATTTGTGTTACGTATGTAAATTACAAATGAAATGTTAAAGTTTCGAATCTTATCAAACTTTACAGAAGATAGTTGCCTATGATACTAAAATTAGGTAATACCTACAATCGAGTGTACCGTAAAATAAGAAACGCATGTCCTTATGTAAAAACTTAAACACAGAATACATTTATCAGTTAAATTATGTATTATTAAATGTTATGATTGATTAAATAAAGTGACATGACACTTTATATTTTGAGTATCAACTTAAATATTATATTCAATATAGAAAATAAATTTGATTTTATTTTACATGTACTTTACTACAAATAGAATTTGATATCAACAAAGTTAAAATGTCAGTTATTGTTGATGTCAAACATTGTATCATCAATATTTATCATATATCAATTACATAGATAATATAGCTATGGAATTATTTAAGGTGGAAAAAAAACACGTAAAAAATGTGTTATATAAACTTTATTTTCAAATTTTATGTAATGTAAATAGCTAATTATGTTAAATGAAAGCATATAGGAATTTGCATTATTCTACTATAAAAGTTAACCTTAAAGTTTCTTTATTAAAATAATAGTAAAAGAAAATACATAATAGAAAATATTTTGTTTAACATTACGTGGTTGTAATATATATTAATAAATCTAAAAAGCTTTTACTATTGTTTAATGTAAACAATCATAGTGCACATGTGCTGCTGTGCAGTGTTTTGAAAAAGTACTTTTAACATCAACTATGCAATTTCAAAGTGCTTACCTTAATTTCACGTATGACAATGTTTTGAAATATTAATATGAACATTTCAAAATAATTATCTGTTCACATAATTAGGGACAATCTAGAAAACAATTTCACAAATTTTAACATTCACAGCCATGTTTGTTTACAAGGCAGTCGTTGCTAACGCGTTAAGAATCATTGGTCACGAGGTTACATCACGTGACTATTGACTAGCATGTAGAATAAGTAACGTGTTAAGTGTTTGAGCGTAGGTTGGAATTTTTAATTAAATACATTATTTCAATCTTCAATTAAGCACGCTGTGATATTTTTCAATAATGATCCTAACGCCGGAAGAATCTTCAAGAGTAATAGCATTTCATTCTAAGAATGTTTCTTTCGAAGACTTAGGCATCACAAATCTTGCTAATACGGTAAATTATTTTTCAGTACTGTTTAAATCTTTTATTGTTTTAAAAATAAATGATTATTTGCACAAATTTGTTGCAATATATCTTAGAGTTTTGTTGTAAAATAATAGTGGATGTTACTTGGATTTCCTATTGTACCTTTTTAATTGATCAAAAATCAAAATAAACAATTTTACTGTGTTTAAACTATCAATATTTACTTTTTCACAGGTTTTATGTGATCTTGTAGATCGCAAAATAAGTATAAATAACTTTTCTCAATCAGAATTTCACCCTTCTTCTAAACATCCAAAGGCAGTTGATTGGATATTTGTCTTAGATACGTTGAATTTTTCCTTTTGGAATGAAAAAAATTGCAACAATTCAAAATGGACTGTTAATTGCCAGACTGGATATTTCGCATTATGTGCAGCCATTAAAAGAGCTATAGAAGTAAGTTAAAACATATAATTTTAATGTTAAAAAGATTATCTATTTTTGGTCATATAAGAATTTTTTTAGAATCTTTAATTATTTGACATCTGCACTTGTCTTTTGGTTCAGATATTGTTGTTGCTTCTGAAGTTTCTGTTTTTGTTGAAGGGATAGAGTCTGGTATTGCCTCCAATTCAGATTTAGTTTCCGATTGAATGTCCTTTTTCTTTTTTACTTTTTTAATTCTTTTTTGTTTTCTTCTTTTCTTATTAATTTTTTGCATTTGATCAGTTTCCTTTTTTCTAGTTTTTGATTGCATCTTTCTCTTTCTTTTTCTTGTTTCCAGCTTTAATTTTGCTTTACTTATACTTTTTTCCTTGCTTCGTTTCTTTTTCATATGAAATGGTTTCTTTATCTGAAATAATAGTATATTTTGTGCTAGACAAATTTGATATTAGGATTGTTTTTAGTTGATTATGTAGTTTTTAATCTTTACAAAATGATATTGAAAATTCTTTTACCTTATGTTTATCTTGACTTTTTTTATCACTTTTCATACGTAATGAGACAGTTTCATCCTAAAATTATATTTGTATATGAAATATTTTGATATGTTTATACATTTATATAAAATACCTCATCATCATCAAAGTATTTTTCACAGCAAATTCTTTCTTTACTGCTAGGCAAGTGTCTAGCCAAATAACATTTTATATACATTTTTACATCTTCGAAGAGTTCTATAAGCAGAACACAAAATTTTATTAATAAAAATAAATTTTTAAAAATTTCTGTAGCACATACTTTTCATTCTTTCTGTCTCTTTATTTACTTTTTCTTTATACGTTTCTATAAATTCTTTGCGTTGTTCTTCTATGCACTGTAATAGAAATTGTTCCTTTTCAATTTGTTTCTTTTGAAATTCCTGCCTTTCTTGCCACCTGTATAATATAAAAATATTAATTGTCTAGTATAAAGTATACTATACGATTTTATATATACTTTTCTTCAACATTTTTGCGTTTTTGTTCTCGTTCACCGGCTAGCCGCATTTCCATCATTCTTTTTCGTATACGTTCCTTTTTACTCCATTCCAACAGAGTTTGAATTATTCTTTGACGTCGAATATCTGCTGCTGCCTTTTGTTTCTGTTGAATCAATTCTGCGCGTTCTTTGCTTTTAATATATCGCAAATGTTGTGCTTCTCGTTTTTTCACAATTAATGCCTTTAATCTTTCTTCTATTTTCTTTTGCTTCTCCTTTTGTTTTTGCAGTTTTAATTTTTCTGCTAATTTTTTCTCTTTGATAACTGATTTTCTTAACTCCATCAATTTTTCCCTTTCTTTCAGTCTAATAAAATTGTACGATTTCATTTTCAGGTAACACATCTTTATACATACACAGGGTGTTTTGTTTAATAGAAAACAGTGGAATATCTTATAGTGAATTAAAATGACTAAAAAAATATCCTTGCAAAAGCTGTTTGGTACAGGTCAAGTAGTATAAATAATTTTTCTTTTAATTTTTTAAAATGAAACTCCTGTTTTTTTATTCATAATATAGTAACACATTTGTTCACATTATATCATACCATGCAGTAAACTTATATAAATTAGATTCACATGATGCCAGTTTGGCTGTGATTTATACAACCTTTATAAGAACATTTATTTGATAACTTAAATGTCTCGTGGGATATTTCACTGTTTCCAGTTGAACGGAATACCTTATATATGTAACTTAACATATCTATTTAGTGTTACTTTTTTACTTCCTTTTCTGCCTGTTTCTGTGCATATTGGATCGCTCTTTGTTCGATAGACTGTTTCGTTCTTCTGTTTAATTCCTGCTTTATGCTGTCACAGTGCAGTCTTCTCAGGTACCTTCTATACATATTATAATCTTGTAGAGAACATTTCGCGTCCATATTTTTAGTAATGAAACCGGACTTTATTAAATGCCGAATGATATTCGGCCTGGAGAAGTAAGGAACCAAATGCTTATCGTGAAGAGAGTCGTAAGCCAATTTAATCTCGTAGCCATACGGATCGCTCAAGTTGAATTCAGCATCGGGCGCCGATATCCACAGCCTCTTACCAATTTTACGACGAGTGAAATTATATGCACCTTCCGGTCCTGGGACCATTGGGATTTTCGACTCTAATGGCATTACTTTCCATTTTGGTAGACCAAAATTTGGAATCGAACCTTTGGGTTTAGCGATTGAGTCAGCGAGTTTGTCCAAAGCCCTGAGTCATTTATGGAAGATTCAATGTGAAAAGCAATTTCTATAATTCAAGTTATATATACTCACGTGGGTCTTTTCAGACTGATTATGTCAGTCGTATATTTATCGCATGTTGAATTCATCTTATTCGTCAGGAAGCAACGTTTCTAACTGAATGTGCCTTGAGAAATTTAATCGTCAATAACATTTTGTGATTACATGAGAATTTTGCTCTATATACATGTAAAATGTCATTCTCTCGTTTCCCACGGACGTCTGACTTCTTTTGTTTGTAAGCTGTTTGTCTGGTTGTTTCAAAAAATTTTCAACACGTTGTGTACGTTTCAAAAGTAGACGATTGTCGATATTGGACCGATAGGTACGTCATCCCCTCTTCATTCTTTTCCTTGTTTTATTTTCAAATGATTTACTTTGAACAGGAGGGGAAACCTATAGTTGATCCCAATTATTATTCTCAAATAACGAGATCTGAAGCTGAGTATATTTTCCGTGGGGATACAGAAACTAGTATTCCGCTATTAGACGAAAGAGTTAAGTGCTTAAGAAATGCTGGAAAGGTTTTGTTAGAAAAGTATGAAGGTACGTGCTTGAAATCCCTTTCTCAGATTATAGCTTTGTATGTAGTATTCAGACGCTGTGTTGTAAAACTTTATAAATCTTCACCTTAGTTGAAGCAAAAGTTATAATTTTGTAATTACACGTTCATTTCATTCATATATTCAACAGAAATTTGCTAAATATTTTGTCACGCATTAGAACGGATTATTAATTTTTCTTTCTGTTTCAGGTACTTTCGTCAATTGTATCAAGAGGTGTTTTGGCTCAGCTGCAAAATTGCTCAGACTCATCGTGAAGGAATTTGAATCTTATCAAGATGAGGCAAACTACAGAGATCATAGAGGTATTAATAATATGTTGAGTCCATGTGAAAGAATTTTTTCAAAAGACAAATGCCAGTAATAGACTGATTCTTTTCCAGTCTGCTTTTACAAGAGGGGTCAAATATTGGTGGCCGACATTTGGGCCTGCTTCAAGGGGGAGGGCATTGGCGAATTTAAGGATATAGACTGCATTACAATGTTCGCTGATTACCGTGTTCCCCAAGTTCTCGTACATTTTGGTGCTCTTCGTTACAGTAAACCACTCCTGAGTAAGCTACAATCTGGTAAGTCTTATTGAAATCAAATTTTTCAATTTATCTGTCTTTTAAATTCATAATGTTACTGACTTATTGATAATAGTAGCTAATTGTTCCGAATCACGTTGTGAATAGAAGGAAATAGAGTTGAACAATAGAGTTTGGCTCTTAGATGGTACGGTATTTAATGTTTGCAGATATAGAGTTAGAAAACGGTAGCCTCGATGAAATTGAAATTCGTGGTTGCACGATATATGTGGTTGAACAAGTCAAGAATCAAGTGAGAACTCTAATCGAGCAAAGGCCCCATCTAGGGCTAAAGAAAACAGATGTTAATGCTATAATGATTGATCATTTTCTATGGGATTATCGACGAGAACACGCTGATCAGTTAGAAAGTATACCATTCCATAAAACTAGGTGCATATATTATTGAATACTTTGTGTGTCATTAACGAATAATATTTTCAAGGTGCATCGAGAAAAATGTACGTGCAAATATTCGAATAAAATATTCAGTATTTTTAGCAGTTTTTTGAATAGTTTCTTCTAGGTTTTCTCCTCGTCTAATGCTTTGATGATCCCTAGTCCGTTCCTTTTAAAAGTGGAAGGTAGATAGTCAGATCTATAGTCATTTTTTGATAATAAACAATATATTTATATAATATCGATATAGCACAGTTTTAGTGTACAGATAACGTAAGGTTAAATCCATACAAATTTTGATACTTTATTAATGGATTTTCGTTGCCCACCGATCTTCATAATTCGTGTATATACACTGATACATATTCAGACGTTAATAAATAATAAATAGTGAAGCGGTACATGGAAACACTATAGGGTAGATTTATATATAAAATTTTGTGACTATATCAGAGTTCCTTTTTATATACAGAAAAAAATTTCGATAGTTTGACTATGTTCAGGCGACGTGTATTTACAATTGATCATTGAATATGCAAACATGTCAAATTTGGTTGGTCATTTCGCACATAGTTTCCAAAATGTTTGCCGTTCCAAAGATTTACATTCGGTTCAATTTACTCGCACGTTTCAAAAGGACCACGCAAAAATATTTTCTTTGGCTAATCACGGGTTGATATCATTTGGCACACGCAATTACACCGACATTTCCTGTCACGATTGCAATTGCTTTTATAAATCAATCGATCGTTGAGCCTGTATTGTTTCATACAATTAATTGACTCCCTTGTTGTACGGTGTTGAAGCATTCTTACATTGAGCAAGGATGTTAACCCGCTTGATCTACTTCTCAATTAAATTCTATCTTCCGGAGATATCCTCTGTCAATCGCATTCTAAACACAAAAAGGACTAAAAATAGATCTGGACTCTTTGCACGATATGTTAATTTAATTTGATCCCTAAGTTAACTTTCGACTTTTCATTTTGTCAAATATTTAGAAATTGGACCCAATCTCAAGCAAGTAGATATGCTTTAGCTCTTCTTCTGCATCTGTTCCCAAAATATAATGTTTGACTTTAGTTTTCCCGGTAAAATGACATTCGTGTCGTTTGACACGTCGCTCTTCGCTTGCACCACTTCCGTTTGGATCTCCGGTATATTAGGTTGTTCCATAGTGACATGACTAGCCGGAGGTGAAGTCACTTTATTCGGAATTTGCCTCAGTCCTTCGCGAAATTGTTTCGAAAGTGATCTGGCGGTCAGACTGTGCATCTGCCTTGGTGTTTCGACTATTTGTATCTCTGGCGTTGACGATCTCTCCTTGTACATGTTGCTTGACTTCGTTACCTAATGAGAAAATTAATTATACAGGCTGTTTCATTAACGTAGATTTTTTTAAATTACAGCTATTTTGGAAAATCATCAAGAGCTTCGAAAATAGGTTGATTTAAATGGGTCACCGACCCAGTCGATCATTATTCTTACCTTCGATATAGGAGCGGAAACGTGTTCAGTCTGTTTACTAAATGCTTCAGCAAGCCTCCTGACCGATGGCATCGGTAATAACTTCTTATCAAATTGCTCGTCGCCCAGAGTTTTCTTTTTCACGTCGCTTATCGATCGATGACTCTGTTCCTTCTCAGAGGAATTGTCCGTATCGTTTTCCGACTCGTCGATCGAACAATCGCTACTCTTAATGTTACACTTCTCTAGATTGTAATTGTTCGCCAGATTCTTCACCGATCCGTTCTTTATCATCCCAAATTCGTTGTACGAATTGTGATTGTAGCCTTCTACCTCTTCGTCCTCCTGGCTATTCGCGTTTGAATAGAACTTGGCGATGTTGGGTACCGATTTCGCAGACTTCAACCCAAAATCGTTGTAGCTCTCATTCTCGAAATTGTTGAGAGCTTCTGTGCTCTGCGTCAAGTTGTTGTCACCAGAGGCTCGAGTGCTCTCGATCACGTCGCAACGATCGCTCTCGTAGTCATTGCGCCGTGTTAAGTTCGACTTGTTCGTCGTTCTCATGAATCTGGGCTTGAATTCTTCGCACCCGATGCTATTCAGTTGGATATTCGACTGCGTTCGTCGAATCCCATCGTCGTAGCCAAACGACTTCAAGTCTAACTTATTGACAACTCTTGGGGTGGAAGTCTTGATCGTTTTGTTGGAGAAGAACTCGTTCTCGAATCCGTAGGCCTTCAGATCGATCCTCTTGATCTTCCTTGGGTTGTCATCGGAATTCGACTTCTTCGTTTCTATAACAGCGTTCTCGTAATTTTCCTGATTGTTCAGCTTCGCGTTGATCTCATTTTTGCTGTTTTTCCTTTCATTTTCCAGAATTTCCTCCATTCGTTCATCTTCCCAGGACCTTTGACACTCTATCTTCTTCGAGAACTTCTCCTTCGTTTTCTCTGCCTCGTTTGAGATGTCACTCTGTCGAACTGGCAACTGATACTTGCCCTCCACGTTGTTATTCTGCCATTTCGCCACTTTGGTCTTGACGTCGTTGCTTCGGTTCAGGAGAGACTCGGTTTCTTTGTACTGTGTTTCCTCCTGTAACAGAAAATAGTCGGGTAGAATTAAAGACTAGATATTGGCCTAGTCGTTTTAGTTCCATAAAATTTCTCAACGGGCTTTTGCAATAGTTAGTGATGTCTTTTAGTCACAATTAGTCTGATCCGTCTACATACAAGCGCCATATAGCCATGCATACAAGAAATTCCATCGAGTAAATTTTAAATTGTTAGTCGCGACCAAACACCTGATCATGAACAATGGTAGCAAAGATTTCTACGTGCGTTCATTCTTTTTCCTCTATTCCATGTCTTTTGATCAAATATTTTTGTCGATCGTGGGACATGCAGACCCTTGATATCGTTTGTTAGTCGACATGCATTAAAATGAAAATGCATGTAAACGGTACTTACCGATTTGGAAAAGGCATTTTCGCAGCAATCATGCATGTGCAAAGTGCATAGAACGACTTCGTACTAACGGAACGTTCGATTTTATTTCTTTCGTTTATTACTCTTTTAATTAGTGTTTTTATGATCTACGTGTGCTATGTACAAGTAAGAATGATCGTTTTGTACAAGGTCGATACGTTACTTGTGCGTGCTATCTACGAGAAAGAATCAAAGAAGATTTATTTACAGTCACAGAGCGATTTTGCACCTCTCGTACTGCCTCAGCTACTCAAAATAATTAAGAAAATTCAACACTGTGTTAAGACTAATAAAGATATTAATTAAATAGTCATAGTATCTCCTAATTAGTTATGCGAGGATTAATCGTAGGAACAAGAACCTACACCGCTAAAGTGTCATGCACTTGAAGTGAAATCATCGAGTTTCATTATTCGTTACATTATTCATTAGAAATAATATATTTAAGATAATTACAATATACACTCCTTTGTACAATAAGCTTCTTCTATATAATCTATTGAGAAAAAAAGGAAATAATAATTCGCATTTTAAATTTGTTCTGGATATCTTTCAAGGAACTTTGTTGGTAATATGGCACTGCCTATGTATTGTAAGATAAAATAAGATTGTATAAAAAGTAGAAATTTGTATATGTATTCTGAAAGACCACTGATTCCCGTTAAAGAACTAATTTGATTAACTATTTTCACCATATCGTCAGGTCGCTCAAACTTCTCACACCCAACTTTTTCCCCGATTCTGTACTTTTGTGCTTCTTTTTTCTGCCTTTGGTTCGAAGATCCTGCAAAGTTTCGAAAGTCTTCTCCACGACTTCCGGCACTATAGGTGGTTCCAGCTTCAAACTTTCGTTATCGTCCGAGGATCGATACTTTTGCGATCTAGTTTTCCTGAGACTATCGAACACTTTTCTTCTGGACGTGTTTAGAAAATACGTAGAATCCTTATCCGAGTTTGAGCGTGATTTGGCGTTCTTGGACAGATCTTTTAGAAATTTTTGCATTATCACATTGTCAGGCATGTGGACATCTTCGTCTTGCCAGTCGTCGTCCGAGGAAGATCGGTATAACGAGGAATGTACTGTCTTTGCTTGTCTTTTGTATAATTGACTGATATATCTTCTTCTAGAATTTACGTTAGGGTACTTTGTACCGTTCTCTTCGAAATTGTCATGGTAATTGTTCTGCCTAGCAGATCGTGCATCGAAATTTTCATTCGATGCATTAATTGCCTCCTTATAATTATTTTGTACGACAGAGTCGCTTTGAGCTGAATTTATCCTTTTGGTATTATACTTGGTATTTTTATGATTACTAAAGGACGATCTTAATGTTACCCTTTTGTACATAGGAATTCCTTTTCCATCGATCTTCTTACTTTTCTTTATACCTCCGAACGTCTGGAACTTCAATTTAGCGAAGTCTGCAGGATCGAAGGATTCAGTCGGTGTCTCCGCTTTGAAATTATCCTCGTCAGAATCTTCCGGGTTCTCGAGTAAGAAATTCTTTATCCCTCCAAATGTATGATACTTGAATCCATTGAAATTCCAATACTTTCTTCCATTAGATGAAAGGATTTGATCGTTATTCGCGTAATTTTGGCGGTCAGTCATCCACAATCTGCTCCAAGAATCTTGATCCTCTTTCTTAGTTTCTAAATCGTTCGTGTCAACCGAGAACATTCCCGAGTCACGATCTGGATTTGGGATATCGTTTTCAGTTTCGAAAATTGGGTTATAAGTGACTTTGTTTAAGGGTTTATTCCAAGGGAACGAAGTATTCTTCATTTCTTCTATATTGTTATTAATTCCAATAGATATATCATGGTTTCCATTAAAATTTTGTGTCATGTTTTCTCTATAATTTATATCGTTTCGAATATCGTTTTCTATAGATAAAGAATTTTCGTTATGGACGTTGTTGTTTTCGTTAATATTGTCAGCTGATTCAGTCGTAGCATCAAGTTCCATGTGTAGAAGAGGGTTGATGGCAAAGTGTGGACTGGAGTACTGATCGCGATAGGTCCATCTAGAAAGACTGCCGCGCAGGGAAGCCTCCTCGAACTTTTCGAGCTGGAAACTCACCTGTTGATCCTGGTCTGCTATCCCGTTGGAGCTTGATCGTTGAGATAACGAGCTACTCGGTCTGCTCGACGTCGACGCGGCCGATCTTCTCCCTTTTTCGTTGCCTGGTATTCTTGACTCATTTATGTAATAGTCCCTGCCGAACCTGCATATTTCATACACTTATTAGAACACAATAAATTACAATAATTGTATGGATGTTATTAATGTGGTAAAGATCTTTTACTCTACATTCTGTGCAATAAGAATCTTTATTCATTATGGAAATTTTTAATAAATTCTTATTTCAATAAATATAATAAATTTATAAGTGTAATAATTTATTACATTATTTATTGATCTAATTTTGCATATTACCTTTTGATATCTGGTTCATGGGGTGCCAGCACGACATCCAAATCCGCTCCGTTGCTTTTTGGCAATTCGGAGTGAATTCTGAAGAAAAATATTAGTTGTACAAAATTAAATTTGTAAAATTAGTATAAAAGACATTATCAATCTTACCCAGGAATGTCTGACGATCTTCTAGAATACTGCCTCTCCAACAATCTCTTTTGAATGTTTTCCTGGCTGTAGGGGTTGTTTTCAATAGGTGGAGCATTTTCCCACTTTTTGTGCTCGCGTTCGGCAATTGTACCTATTTTTCATTGCAAGGAAATAGGATTTAAAAAGAAGTTCGCAATTCTACTAACACAGTTTGGTCACCTGGTCTAGGAGGAGTAGCGAGTCGAACCTCTTCCTCCGAATTCTTGTTCTGCAGGGACACGTGCGAAGCCGATTCAGCTTTGGCGAACGCCACAGCCTCTCGGCACTTGCTGCACAGTGGAATGTTGAATAATTTTTATAGTATCATTGGCAAGAAGAAAGTTCTTTGCGACGCTTCGCAGACCAATATCGGTGACATTACGAAACGAATCTTGCTTCGAAACTTTCGGCACGAAACAATTGAGATATCTCGAATTTTATATATAGATCATTTTACAATGTTATTGTAAAAGAACATTTGATTTCATACGAATTTTTGATATGAATTCGAATAAAAAATTTTGTGAAAAATTTAGATTTAGTTTATTTTCGCATCTTGGAATTTGAAATCATTGTAAACTTTGTACCATTATTATAATAATCGATTTAAAGTATATCGATGCAGTACCTTTCACACTCTTCTGTCGAGGAATTCGTCAGTGGCCAAGACTCAGAAGATTCAGTCTTCGTCAAACTGTCCAAGTGTCTCTGAGTCGCAATATCGTAATGCTCGGTGTACTCACTTTCTTGTTGGATATCCTCAGCTAGTGTCCATAAACAAAAGTGAAATCAGTAGTAATGAAAAGTGTATAAACTCTTTCAATCCACGACTGCGTTGCTAAAATATTTACCATGAAAGTCGACTTTTTGCCGAGCAGTCATTGTTTCCTCCTCGTCAAACAATTCCACACTGTCGTCATTGACGGCCATCAGTTTCTTCTTGGCACATTCCAGGGAATTCAGAACGTTCTTTTCTTGGGAAGCAAAGGTTTCCTCATTATTAGAGTTCTCCAGACTGTTCTCTATCACGGAAGACCATGTTGGCGTCGATGTCGGTGTCTTTGGCACGTCTAGCATGTTTTCATACGGCAAAGAAACCGTCGAAGGTTCCAGGTTAACGGAATTCGATAAATTATGCATGACAAATTCGCTTTTCTCGACCGATTGTGAGACCGGTTTAATTAAGTCGTCTTCGTTGATTAAATTTCTTGTTTTGTCTTCTTTGGATATGTCGTTTGTCGTTTGTCGCTCCATTTCCATCTTTAAGTAATTACTAGTTAAATCGATTGGTTCTGCAACAAGTTTCTCGTCCTTGCTTTCGATTCTACTCCATTTTCTTTCCACTTCTTTTTCTTCGACCTCTTTGGCTTTGACTTCGTCATTTTTCTCTAGACTTTGACTCTGCCCACGATACTCTTCTATCCTTTTATTTCTTCCCATTCCCCTTTGGTCTTTCGCGATTCTAGAGTCAGTCTTATCATCGCCCGTTTGATCAGACACGTTTATACCATTCGAAAGTGTATTTGTGCCATTTTCCTTTAACAAAACGTCGTTTGACAAACCCGAATGATGGTCCAGACCATTTTCGAACTCTCTCTTTCTTGGAGATCTTGGCACGACGTTGTTTATGGCATCCATCAGTTCCTTTTCTAACTCCTCGTCCGATTGCGCCGAGGAACATTCCGACAAATCTGAGGTATCTTCCGCATCCTTGTCACCGATCAGAGCCTTGTAATCGGCGCTAGGATTTGGCACTAGCATGGCCACGGGATCAGGTTGTGTCTGAACCCTCTTCTTTTGGAACAACCAATTTTCCTCCCAAGATTCCACTGGGGAAACTAAATCTATGTGAGGCGTGTCCGGCTCCTCTTGGCTGTCCTCCGATTCTTGAGAAGCTACGATCAACAAGTTTTTGTCAATAGAAAGTCAAACAATAATTATGTAATTCGAAATCACGTATCAATTATAAATCGATTCTAGCATCAAGTTGATTATAGTCATTGGTAACATTGAAACGTAACTGATCGGAATGTTCCATAGTCTGTTCAGCAGTGTGGTAGTTCCGCTGTGTCGTCAGCAAAAAGACAGAAAATGTTGCATACGCATATTATTCCCATTTGTCTCCGTGTCAAATTCACGGAGGGAATGACCGTAGAAATTCTGACAACAAAGTGAAACGAGATACGGAAGTAAAGGACGCATCGTTGGTCACAGCTTACGATCAATGATGTCCATTCCAAGTTCAGGGAACGGCACTCGATGGGTGTTCTTAATGGCCAAGACATCGTTTTCCCTGGGTTCCTCGTCGGACGCATATGTTGTTGTCACTTCCTCTATTCGTTCCTCTATCTGAAACAAGCAGAGACGCGCGTGTCGTTAGTAAATCACAGGGACTAAAGCCGATAAAGTTCGTTTATAGCTTTTCGCATCTTTCCTGTCCTTTTCTCTGCATTGCATTTTTCCTCTTTCATTTTGATTCGGATTGCCATGCGTATTCCAATGTGGAGCAACGGTTCTACTTCCGCTGCTTATCATTCGTGAGCTAACCGCTTATCGGCCAATTACCTGAGAGCCTACAAACCTCGTCACGAAATTTTATAAAGCGGTTCATGCCCATAATTTCCTGTCTCGCGTTGTTTCCTGGATTTAATTGCAAATTTTTTCAAGAATACGAAATAGAAAAATTTTAATTTAAAATTTATTTACGAATAAAATCTTTTTAATTCCGTTTTCAATTGAGAATAAGTAAAAAATTTGCTTTAAATCAAACAGTCATATTTTTGTCCTCATTGCAAGCCTCTCAAAATTATTTACTTTGCCGAGAAACAGTTATTCTCAAATAGAGTTCATTGATACGTAGTTCACTGTCATTTAAAGGACGCAAAGACGTAGAAGTTGAAGGCCAAAATTGAGAAACGGTGAATGTCGGCCTTGAGTCATCCTTGACATTGCAAAAGACACCATCGGAGCGAAGTGAGCTTCGAAGGGAACATATTTGACCCGACGCGATTCAGAAGGATCCAACAAGTCGAGTATACGTTTCCCCGGAACAGTTTTCGTTTCTTTCGCAAGTTCTTCGATGGTCTGTCAAGGTTACATGCGACGGTAGCCATAAAAGGATCGCCTACCGTGAGAGATAATGGCTCCGGTTGGTTTCTAACGCGTCTCGAGCAAGATGCACTGCAGTCGCTACTGCAATCATCCTGAGACAACGGTTCCAGGCTGCTACAGCCTTCTTCGACACCTTCCTCGAGGCCTGCCTCGCTCTCACCTAAAAATAAGGCAACAAAATGAACATTCTCGCTATTTTACCCTCTCCTCGATCTTTTCGTTCTTCCTTTACAACTAAAATCATTTGTCCACAATTTCTTTTCCATACTTCTCTCTTTAATAGATCAAAAGACGTACTCAGTGTACACTTCGCTGACACAGGTTTCCCAGGGAGGACGTTGCTATTTCCGTCCACCTGTTTCTTTTGGAATTTCTCGATGACCTAGAAAATCCAACGTTCGTTCATCGATTTATCCTCTCGCTCGATCTTCGAGCAAATACCACGAATTCCGCGAACGGAGCACAAGTCTCTCGAAAGGATGCCCTCGAGAGATCTGGCTCCGTGAAACGAATAGTAACCTTGTTGAGTATCTCATTGGCGAGAAAATCCTCGTAACTGCGCTCCGCGATGTTCCGTTCCTCCTGTGCTTTTCCGGTCCCACCGGAACCACCGAGGCCTGGCAATTTTTTCGCCTCGTCCACGGCTCGCTCGACGATGTCGCGCAGCGCCATGTGGGCCATTGTTGGCGAATCCGTGCCAGATTTGTCTGCAAAAATTTCACTGGTCAAAGATTTTCTGGTTGAAGACATTTCTGAAATAGCGATCCATAGTTCTACGATTAATTGTCATTTTTCGGCGAATCGTCTTTGACGAATTATTGCATTTCCGAAAGCGATCCTTCGAAATTTGGAATTTCTAATTCGAGATTTGCAGAATTCTTAATTTTGGCAAAATCCTTATGGGTCCTTTTTTCCAAAGAGAAACGTCTTCATTCTGGTATATAGCTGCTCGTGAAAGTTGGAATTGCTCGAGGCTCGAACTTTTCGTAAATGGAATATGTATTATACATTGGAGTGGAACTGTTCTTACATGGAAATATATTAGTGAAATTACTAGGAAATTTAACGATAAATATAGAATTCGATTTGCATCGATTTCCCATTGAACACGAACGTTTATGAAAGTGGTTAAAGATATTCGAACGCATGGGAATGGAAGGTATTGAGATTATAGTTGATAGCAAAAGTGGTTGAACTCGATACTAATTCCAAATAGTTTAGGAATAATTCACACTTTCGAATATCTTTATCGTCCTCGTGAAAGGTGGAACATTGCTAGGCATTCTCGATAATTGTACCTTCAACTGCAGTATCAATTCAAGCTGCGTATTTCATTCCTTCAAAATTCAGGATTCCAACTATCGGAATGCTTTCTTCCTGCGAGAAAATCACGGCACGTAGTGTGACAGGTTCATTTGTATTAATCGCGCAATTAAGTATGCAGATATTTATTGTAAATCATTCGATATCTCCTCGTCTTTTAATGCCTGTAGCGTCAGCTCCGTTGCTTTTCAACTAAAATAAATTTCTACGCTAGAATTACCTCTAAAGAAGAATTACCTCTGTCGATAATTAAATAAAGAAATAAAAATATTTCTTATTTAGTAATCTAATTCGCATGTTTACGGAATAACAATTACCAGTGAACAGTCGCATGAGCATAGAAGTCATAGAAAAGTCGTTTGACCCAAAGTCCACTAAATTCCGCATGCACCAGTAGGCTCTCTACCAGAAAATAAATCTCTCAATCTCATTAAACATCCCTCGATCTTGTTCAATCTATCTCTCGAATAAACATCGATGCCCACTGAGCTCGTTAGGGAATTACCACTGAGAACGATTGCTCGTCGGAGAAATCTCGTGGAAAAGGAAATAAACGATGCGAAAGGGTTAACGAGTAAGGCAGGACAGGAAAAGCGGCGGAGGAAGGCGTACTTTCATCGACGCGGTAGCCCGGTATTGGTAATGGATCGAGCGATGAGCGTCTCGTTTGGCCGCGTACGAGCGTCGCGCCAAGGTAATTTCACCGGCTCTCGGCCTTGTCAGCAATTCCTCATTCTTCTTTTGCCTGTCCGCGAGCGCGCGACCGAGAGAAATTCGACGGGAACTGCTGAACTCTTTTCACGGGAAATCTTGTGTGCTGCGACAGCGCGTACACCTGAGGATCTATCTATGCTACGTCCGTTCAGACGGGTTAGATAGTCGTCGTTGGTCAAGTTAATTGCCTCTTCGCCGCGTTAAGCGACCAAGATCCGAAGTTGCAACTGCGACGCGTATGGGTGCCGAGGAGAAACTTCCTTTGGCCATTTACCTCGATCCTATACGTGGCCATCGCGAGAATCTCCGGTGGCTTTGTTTCACCGATTCATCGTGCAGGTATTTTTCCTTTTTTCTTTTTTTTCCAGCCACGCTTAACGCAAGATTAATTACACGACAAGACAGTTCGCTGTTCCATGAACGATGCCTGATTCTATTTAAATTCCATTCCCGGTTTATTAGCGTCGGATAAAGTTTAAATTTAGCACGCGCGATGATTTGCATCCATGGCGTGCCTGGATAGAGAGAGGCCTTCCGACTCGCGGTGTACCAAACGCACAGATTCCATGTCCGTCGATGGGCTTTCTAACCCTGATCTCTCGCTAGAAGGTGAAGGTCGCCTACATTTATTTCCTTGCCAGCTATCTCCGCGCGCCGCGCAATCTCCGTGGCTATTCATTAGTCACACCTGTACTCGCGATCACCTTTCAATTAATCGTATCCCTCTCGACCAGCCATTTTTCCGATTACCTCTATGTGTCATCCCTGGTATTTTATCGACGTGTTTTTCCCCTTATCCTCTTTTTTCTCCTTTTTCCTTCAGTTCCAACGCAGACCTCATCGTCGATCAATTCCACGAAGGAGTTCGTACAATCGACCATCTTTCTTGAAGAAGATTAACCATTTTCCGATTTTTCCGATTATCTATGTGTCATCCTAGAAGTCTATCGACGTATTCTTCTTCTTTTCTCGAGACTTTCGATGAAGATCTCGTTTCGATGGATCTCGCGAAAGCGTTCATCCTCTCGTTCATCCTCCTTTGGCGAAGATTCACTTTTTCCTCGATGTCCTTCGCGGTGTCCTTTTTTCCTCTTCCTACTTTCGATCAATCCGCTTAGACGTATTCATAAACTGACGCAAACAGTCGGGTCTGGCGTAATAAAATGCACGTAAAAACACTTGCCTTGAAGCGCAAGGATGATCGTATCGATGATCGGTTACGAGCACTCGTGGCGTTTTGCGAAACCTGGCCATTATTCGCGGCGCTTCGCTTCTTCTATTTCTATATTATTCTTCTTCTTGATTGTCGAACTTTCTAAAGGCATATCGGCGGGGAATTTCGAAAGGGAAGGAAATCGTTCCGCCCAGCGAGGAAACGCTTCATTTCTGATCTGTGAAACGCGACGATCGGCGAAATCGAGTCGCGATTCGCGGATACATTGGCCGCGAAACGCGTCTGACGTAACGAAATTATAGCGATTATCGTGTCATCGGCTAAATCGCGGCGCAGAAAGGTTTCTTTACCTGTGGAGAATCGACGTCCAACGATGCGGTCGATCGAGGGAAATCGTCTTTTCCTGCGATGGTTAATTTAATATTTCGTCGTACGACGACGTTGCAGCGCAGCTCGTGTGTTATTGGACTTTGTCGTCGATAAAATTAGATTGCGGATTTAATATCGCATCAATTATTCCTTCAAAGAAGGCACGTAGAGATTACTAGAATTCCTTGGCAAAAAGAACGAGATCGATGACTTTGGCTTTGATGGATTTAGATTGCGAAATTAATATTACGACCATCGTTTAACTTTTCTGGTACAGTCAATGGGTATATGCGTCAGATAAAAGTGTTGTCACTAGGCTCATTGTTAAATTATTTTATACAGTGTCTTCGTTTTCCTCGTGTATCACACATACATGATATAAAGATAATAGCTAACCCAATCCTATCATCAACGTCCAAGAGAAATAAACACGAATAGAAATTGAATGTTAACGAATGAGAAAAATACTAATTAATACTAAATAGGTTAATAATTCTCTTAAAGAAAACACGTAGAGATTACTACAATTTAAAAAAGATGATTACTGCCTCTGTACCTGTGTCCTTTGAATGATAAGCTAGTGTCTTAACTGATAAGACGTATGACGCAGTCGCGAGTGTTGCAATTTGGTTACATGAAAATGGAGTCCTATTTATATTAGATATTTCAGCTTCGTAACTGAATGGAAAAAGTGTCAGGGATTCGTGAAACTGGTTCCTCCGCGTTCCTCTTTTCTTTATATATGTATGTTCGTGATTTATTCCCGTAATACGAATGTTCTTTAATTCCTCTTCATCGTGATTCGTCCACACGTTAATGAATTAAACAAGTCGTGGGTCACGAAGATTTTCTGAAATCTCAATCACGTTCGACCTCGTGGTATCGAACGCGACGTGTTGTTGCGCAAGTGACGAATCAGTGCAGATAAATATACCGGACTGAGAAAAGAAAGATGGTTCCTGATATAAAAGAGGAAATTGTAAAAATAGAAAGAAATATGGAAGAATCGTACGATTTGCCTGGTGGTGATTCGCGATAATCTCGTGACCTTATTGAAGGCGAACGACGAGCGTTATTGTTCATGGCACTTGCACCGTTGTTCCATCGAACCGATCACAATCGAATAATCGAAACGATGACAATAACGCGGCGATTGTCACGCGCGAGAAATTGTATGGAAATATTTTTCGCCAATCGTATTATCAACCTTTATTGCTAATACGTTGACAACGAATGCACGTAATAGAGATATGAAATTCATTTAAACAATGAGAAAAATCGTGACAATGGCGAAGTAGATTGAGTAATCGAGGAGGACATTTTGAACGTGATTGAAAATTAACTGGTTTGCAGAACATCGCGAAATGTTATAGAGTATCCTGCAAGATTGTAAAAGTAGTGGATGTAACAGAGAGATCCTCTCGTGACAGATTATTACGTGCAATCGAGGAACCGTGCCAGGGACGCGCGAATAGTTCACCGGTGACAATTTACAATAATCACGACGAATAATCACGAATCTGTGACGATGATAGCGCTTTCACGAAAGCAGTTTAGATTAGGATTTTGTAACCGATCTACTTTGCAAATTGTAGAAATCTCAGGAGTACTCGTTAGGACTTCAGCTAAACATTGTTTCTGGAAATAAGTATAAGACTTTAGAAACTTGGAAATAAAATAATTTTGTTACCGAGAAATTGAATTATTCTTATCGATCTTACTGATATTTATTGATTCTTATCGAAGAATCTTTAAGCTCCTTTGTATAGGTTAGCGTCGTATTGGAAATGAAGCCTTAGGTCTACTCCGTAGATGAATCGAGTCGGAATCCATTGATACATTCCAACTGCTTCTTCTGCTAATATACTCTATACGATTTCGCATCGAAATGAACAAAAATTGACGATATTTACCATCCCTCTTGGTGAACAGGACGTAGATGAAATAGGCGACGATTAGGCCGCCGATCAGTGTCAGCATCTCCGCGGTTAGTTCCAGCAACATTTATCACGCGTTTCACATCGTATCTCTGCCTGATAAGTTAGTTTTGTTTGCACTTCCAACGAAACATTGTTTTATCATCACAGACAATAATCTAGGAACTCGACTCATCAATTGATTTCCGAT